GTATACCGGAGCTCCTCGTCCCTATGGCCAAGACTATAGTCTGCGCGCCAGGAATCTTAGACGAGCTAGAGGATAAGCATCTGTTGGCGGAGGTAGTCGACTCGGTCTCTGGCACCTGGTTCACCGTACGAGGATCCGAATTAGCAGTCATGCCGTCCCTAGGCACCCGGCCAGGAATGCCCCTAGCAGATCTGCTTTTCAACCTCATCTTCGGCCCCATGCAGCAGGAAATCAACCGTCGTCTAAGTCTACTGATCAGGCCTCAAACGGTGTCGGTAAGCTCCGCGTCGAAATGTCTGTTCCTGCCCAGGGACCTCCAGGCCCAGGATTTCGAGGTGTGGGGTCCAGCCTATGTCGACGATCTGGTCACAGCGGTTGAGCTGGAAGAGGCCTTCCTTTGGCGTGCGGTGGCAGAAACCATGGCGGAGGTTGTTCACGAGGAGGCCCTAATCAGGGGGTTTCGGGTCAACTATAAGGTGGGCAAATCCGAGATGATGCCGTACCTCTCAGGTCCCTGTTCCAGGCGCGTTCGTGCTGAGATCGCTCAGCTTAAAGATGACCTTCTACCTCTTCCTCGGATTGGTGTGTCTTTGAAGTTTACTCGGGATTATGTGCATCTAGGAGGTGTTCTCGACGATAAAGCTGGGGTGGCTCGAGAGGTTGCAGCGCGCTGTCGAAAACAGTCTCGCCCATTGGGAGTCCTCAAGAAGGTAGTATTCAAGCAGCCCCTCATCCCGAACGAGGCCAAGCTTCTATACTCCTCCTCCCTCTGCCTCTCCCAATTGCTTTATAACTCGTGCATCTGGCCACGTCTTAACGCTAAGACTTCCCAAATGCTAGACCATCACTATGCCCTGTCCCTCAGAGGCGCGTGTGGCCTAACACATGATGCCAATTTACAGTTGTCTGACAATGCCCAAGTTTTTCTCACAACAGATAAGTTGCCCACACATCTTGTCCTCAGGCTGAGGCGCCTCAGGCTCATCCCACGAATTCTGCGTTTCACTTCGGCGGCGATGTGGGCACTTCTGGACACGGCGCTCGGAGATCCTGAGTCTTGGTCTTCCCTCCTGGTCCAGGACCTTTTCTGGCTGGCCGACCACATAGATTTGCCCATGCAGTACCTTCCCACGGGACCGCCTTCATGGTGGATCCAGGTGGCCCGTCAAGTTGGGGTACGCCAGTGGAAGATCTGGTGCAGACAGGCGGAGAGAGCTTGCCAGGCACAGTTTCGCGACCAGATGCGACTCCAGCTTTGGCATCGCCAGTTCGGTGACTTGTGCCGGGTGGCCGATTTCCCTCCCCCCCCCTTCCTGGCTCCTCCCCCTCCTGATGTGCGATTTGTATGCGTTGACTGCGAGGCCTCCTTTAATACCAAAGCTTCGTGGTCGGCACATCGCACGAAAGCCCATCCAGAGCACGATGTCGCCTCACAGTACGGCTGCGGCACAGTGTGCTGCTCTTGCCTTTTGGATTTTCAGACCCATCCTCGGCTCCTGAGACATCTCAGGCATGGGCGCCGAAGGTGCCTTCAAAACCTCTCTGCCGTCCTTAGGCCCATGGGAATTCGGTCCGTCCTGCAGCAGAAAGAAACGGACGCGGTGGATACTAAGGAGCTCCGCCGCCAGGGACTGTATGCCGAATTCGCCCGCATCCCCCCTGTGCCCGTTATAGGGCCTGGCCTTGAAGGGGCGGCGGACGTGCTAGGGTCGCCAGACATCACCAAGCTAGACTGTCTTCCCACCCCCGTGGACCCTGCGCCGGAGGGGGCAATTTCGACCGTTCCCAGGCCCGTCGACACGTCCGGGGTCAAGTTTGTGTTTCATCTTTTTTCAGGTCAGAGACGTGAATATGATATCCAGTTTTATTTCGAGGCCCTGCAGGTAAGATCAGGAGCTCAAGTGGTGATGCTCTCCTTAGATGTAGTGAATGATCCAATTCGAGGTGATCTGTCCAATCTGAATAGCCTGGCCACCCTCCTCCTTGCCGTACAGACGGGCAAGGTGTTGGGAGTGATCGCAGGGCCACCCTGCGAGACTTGGAGCGCTGCCCGGGCGCTCCCCCCACCCCCAGGTTCGCATAAGCCCCGGGTAGTGAGGAGCTCAGAGTTTCTTTGGGGGATCGCCGCTCGGACGGCGAAAGAGTGGCGGCAGGTAGACCTCGGCAATGCGTTGATGAGGGCCACCCTTTCCTTTGGTGTTGCTTGCGCTGGTGCAGGGGTGGCCTTTATCATGGAGCACCCTGGCCCCCCGCCCCGGCCCCATCTCCCCTCCTGTTGGCTTCTCCCCGAGGTCGCTTACATGCTCACCCTGGGGGGGAGGGGGCGGTGCCAAGACATCGAATTCGTGGACATAGATCAGTGTTCAGTCGGTTGCCAGGCTCGCAAACCCACGAGGCTTTTAACTATTAATTGTCCCCAAGTCCGGGCCCGCGTCCAGGCTCTCCCACATTCAGGTGTCTGTCACCACGGTCCTGGCCAGCATGAGATCCTGTCAGGCCTTAGGCCTGACGGCAGCTTCAAGACAGCACAGGCCAAGCAATACCCTCCCCTTTTTTGTCGTCTGTTGGGGGAGGCGCTTTATGATGTTGCTGCGCCTTTCTCTCAGCCAGGGACACCTGGGAGTTTCGTGCCTTTGGACGGTGAGGACTTGGAGGACTTCTACATGCCTCTTGACCCCTACTGGGGGGGTCATCGGTGGGGAGCCTTCGGCTCCGACCTGGCGGCCGCGGCCGCCCCGCAGGCAGCCCCCGCCTCTGCCTAGCCGCCTTTTGTCTCTCTCTCTCTCTCTCTCTCTCTCTCTCGTCGTCCGTCGTCTCTTGCATGTTCGCCGTGTGTGCCGGCTTTTTGTTGCACATGTGGACACCACGACTCATGTCTTGAGGGATGTGCGCAGGAGGAGGAGGAGGAGGAGGAGGAGGAGGAGGAGGAGGAGGAGGAGGAGGAGGAGGAGGAGGAGGAGGAGGAGGAGGAGGAGGAGGAGGAGGAGGAGGAGGAGGAGGGGGAGGAGGAGGAAGGAGGAGGAGGAGGAGGAGGAGGAGGAGGAGGACAATGGCGAGCTTGGGGGCCTCTTGGGCCGTCTTTGGGCTTGGCGGTCCTGGGGGCCTCTTGCGTATCTCTCGGGGAGCTCTTGGGGCCTCTTGGGGCCCTCTTGGGGCGCTCTTGGGGCGCTCTTGGGAGCCTCCGGGGCGCTCTTGGGGCCATGTTGGACGAGATCTATTCAAGAAGCGGGGGGTGGGAATTAGCGTTGCCCCTCAGAGTGCCTCTTGGGCACCAACACAGGCCAACATCCTTCCAAAACCTAAGGAAATCAATGTTTTTCTGCTTTCCCGCCTTTTCGCTCTTGGAGCCGTCTTGGGCCATCTTGGACGCCCCAACGACCCGCGGAACCCCCCTTCCAGGTCCAGGGGAGGGGGTAGGAGGGGGGGGGGGTCAAGCGGCAAGGGCATAAGGAAGCGTGAGGCAGTCGTCGGCAGCTGTGGGAGCCACGCCTGTTGTTATCACAGGGATGGTGCAGCGGTTCCGCAACGTGGGAATGGAGGAGTCGCTGGGGAGTGCGAAGGGGAAAAAGGGGGTTGGAAGAGGAAACTCTCTCGGAGCATTGCGCAGACGAGCCCGGGAAGCGCAAGCCACGTGCCGCTGTCGCCGGTCTCAAACGCTACCTCCCTCGCCTTCGAGCGGCTTTGCGTCGTTCAGTCGGTCCGTGAGGTGGTTTTACATCGTTTCGGTGTCATGAGTGAGTTCAACCTGGTATGTCCGCTGGCGCGTCCCGTGGCAGGCGTCCTCTGGCGCGCTACGGGCACGAGTGCGCATGGCGCAACAGTTCCTTAAGGAGCGCGGAGTCCCCTGTTCCATGGGAGGCCCCATGGGCGATGGCACGGTCCGGACGGGGACACATGGCGCAGGTGCGGCAGACCAGCGAGAGTGAAGGAGCTGGTAGAGCTCTGGGCCAGCTATGCGCGCAGGCAGCTCGAGGATTTCAGTCAGGATTCGGATGGAAGGACGACCCGATCCAAAAGTAGATCGTGTGGAGTTCAGGGAGCGATCGGGCCCGTTCATGACGCTGGAGGGAACCAAGACTCAGAAGGGAAGCCTTAACGGTGTCGGCTCGACACGTCTCTTTGCAATGGCAGCTCCAGAGGACGGCAGTCAAGAGAACAAAATGATGGGCGCGAGAGCTTTGAGGACAGGTTGGACTGAAGCCAGCACGGGAAGGTTCAGGAGGCGAGGTAAACGATATGGATCTGAGGTTCGTTGGAGGAGGAGGAGGAGGAGGAGGGGGACATGAGGGGCGGAAAGGAGAAGTTGAGGAAGGTCGTTGAAGAGGAGGTGGAGGAGGAGGAGGAGGAGGAAGTACATCGCTTTTGCTGATCACGAACGGGATGCGATGCCGTAGCCATTTTGGCTCAAGCTAGATTGCCTCAAGTCCGTCCCCTTCTCGGGGGTCTCGGACTTGGCCGACATGGTCACCACAACTGTTTCGCCCAAGGCCCTCTGGCCCAGCGCCGCGCCGCCACCGTACGAGGCCCGCGGAGCCATATGTCCACGGGATGGCGTCTGCTGCCTCTGCTGCTGACGCTGTTCGTCATGCCGCACCGCAGGAGTGCTGACGCTCTGCATCGCCGTGCTTGCCGAGCGCTGCAAGGCGGTCGTGGCCCAGCACGAGTTGACAGCGCCAGCACTTCATCGACACGTACTTCTTCCACACGTTGCTGCGTTTCCTGCCGCTTTGCGGGTGATCACTCCGCTGGGCACTTGCATGGGCAACGAGCTGCCGCTGGTCGCGAATTTCCTGCAGTTGATCCGTTGACGACCTCCTGACGTTACCCTTGTTCCCGAAGTTCAGCCTCACCGCCCTGCAGATGCCGATGCTGCACCCGCCCATGATGAAGACGCCCACGGTCGCCTTCCTCGTCGCGACGCTGAGCCAAAGGTCCCGCGAATCGGCGTTGGACCGTTTCCTGCCCATGGCGATGTCCACAACCCGCTCTGCTTCATGGCGCTGGGCCTCTTCCTCGGTTTGTCGCTGGCGCTCCGGATCCTGTCCGCATGCCGCTGCCGCTAGTGGCTCCCGTCCACGTGACGCTGGTGATGCACCTGGCGATGGCCCACGTCCACAACCCGTTCGGCGCATGCCACTGGCCTCTTGCTCGGCTTGCCACAGGCGCTCCTGACCCGTCTCTGCATGCCGCTGCCGCTGTTGGCGCCCGTCTTCGTGATGAATACGTCCTTCATGTCGGTGTTGCTGGCGGCGCCTGAACTCGTGTTGCTGGCGATACTCTCGCTGCTCTCCGTCCACTTGTCCGCGAATGGCATCGGGTCGCGCGGCGTAAGACGCTACTCCAGAACATGCCCTTCATCCGCTGTTTCGACGCGTGGTTCGTCCTCGTGTTCGAGTCTCCCTTGTCCTCGGAGAGCGACCCGCCATACGAGGCTTGCGCTTAACATGATGATGCTGCCGCTGGTGGCGAGCAAGTTCACGGCGACGTTGTCGCGTGTGGCGAACAGTCTGCTCTCGAAGTACATCCTTTTGCTCACGACGATGCTGCCGCAGGAGGCGAACGTCCAAGACGCTGCCGCTGGTGCGGATAGTGCTGCCCCTGCGGGCCTTCGGAAAGTGTTCGATGGCGGTTCCGATGCCTGGGCTGTCCCTGGAGCGCCGCACCTTCGTCGCTCCGATCTGCGCCAACTCAGATGCTGCAGTCTGGCTCTCGCTGGTCTGGCCGATGAGCTTGTGCGCCGTGCTGTCGCGCCTCATGACGATGCTCGTGCTGTTCCGGTGCCAGGAGTGGCGTCCGCAGCCCATCATGCAGCGCGCGACGCCCAACCACATGGAGCTGTCGACCACGGGTGGGGTATCTGCTGGGACTATGAGCGCCGACGCTGGGATCGATTGGGTGAGCCTGCCCTTCATGCCCATCCCGACGATCACGTCCTGCATGCCGTTGGCGCACAACCCCGTCCCGCTGAACGAGTCCCGCATCACGCTGCCGTTGTTGGCGAACGTCTCCGTCCTGAAGATCCCGTCCTGCACGATGCTGCTACTGGTGGCGACGGATTGGCTGACGCAGCTCATCCTGCACATCCCGAAGAAGCTCTGCAGGCTCATGCACGCTCAGCTGCGCCGCCTAGCGTGGCTGCCGCTGCGCATGAGGCCCCGGAGGCCACCCGCCACTGTAGCCCTGAGCCCACTGTCTGGCTCACTCCACCCCGCTCTTCCCCGTCTTCGCTCCTGCCACCCATCCTTGCTTTTGCCGCCTTCCCGAGTGTTGACGTCAAAGTGCGCCCGAATGCTGCGGCCAGCGCAGCCACATATTACAGCGCAGCAGAGTATTAGGCGTACCAGTGGGTGGGAGCGAGCGGGATCATCATCTGCCCTCGTCTCGCTTCTTGTCCGCTTGCCTCCGTCCCCCTCCTCCTCATTTTCCGCCTGCTCCTCCTCCTCCTCCTCCTGATCTTCCTCCTCCTCCTCCTCCTTCCTCCTCCTCCTCCCCGTCCTCCTCATCTGTCCTCCTCCGCCTCCCGCTCAGTCCTCGTTTGTGGTCCGCGCGCTCGGTTCCGGTGGCGACGGCGACGGCGATGGCGGCGACGGCGACGGCGGCGGCGACGGCTCCGACGACTCCGACGACGGCGGCGGCGGCGGCGGCGACGACGACGACTCCGACGGCGGCGGCGGCGGGCCTCAGGTCGCCATCCGGACTTGGTTTTTCGCGCTCTTCGCCCTGGACTCCGTCGCCGTGGCCGCGCAGGGGCTGCTGCCGACGTCGCTGGCGGGGGGCGGCCGCGAAGCGGCTCGCCGCGTGCCGGCGCCCGAGCGCCCGGGGCGGGGCGGCCTCGCGGCGTCGCGTGCGCCGGACGTGTGTCGCCGGTGGGCCTGCAACTTGGCATCGCTCCGACGTGTGCACTTGTCCTCGGCGAGGGCCCTCGGGGAGCATGCTGGATCATCGAGGAACAGAAGCCACGCACGGGGTCGACAGGTGCACGGGGAATGGACGTCCGAGCGCTGGCGAGGCATGTGTCCGGACGTAGACCCCCACCCCCTCGCGTCGGGGTGATTCCTTGGCTCGCCGCGGTGGTTGCTAAGGGGATGGGGGGGTGAGAAGTGGATGCTGAAGTGGGTTTGATCTGGCCTAACCCAAATTATAGATTGGTTACAAGTGCCCTATGTGGCTTAGGATGATGGGGTAACTCCGCTAAGTGGGGTCCGTCATGTTAACCGAGATCTACGCACCTTTAAGCTACATAGGGCACGTGCAACCCACTTCTGAGCTGGGGCTGGATAGAACCCACCTTAGCATCCACTTGTATCCACCTATCCACTTAGCACCCCCACGGCGATCCAAGTGAAGATCCAGGTGGGATGTCTTTCTGCGCTGTCTTCGGCCTGCGGCTTGGGGAGGGGCCGCGGGCTGAAGCCCTGGGGCCCGTCAAGACACGACCCCGTCTGAGCTGGAGTAGAACGTAGTGGGTCTGGCGCAGACAAGTCGGTGACGCGAGGTGCAATCGTTCATTTGTGTATGAGTCGCCATCGTTACCATCACCTTCATCATCATCCGCATCATGAACATCGTCGTTGGCATGTTCATCGGCATCATCATCATCACCATTACCATCATCCTCCCCATCACCATCCCCATCGTCATCACCATCATCGTGATCATCAGCATCATCGTCATCGGCATAGTTATCGTGGTTATTGGCATAGCCATCGTTATCGACATAATAATCGTCATCGCCATCATGATCCTCACAATCATGATCGTCATCAGTGTCCGCGTCACCATCATCGTCATCATCATCAGTAGCTTCTTCATCATTCGCATCGCCATCGTCATCGTCATTATCGTCATCGCCATCGGCATCGGCATCGTCGCCATCACCATCCTCATGCATCGTCATCATCAGAGTCATCACCATCATCGCCAGCGTCATTGTCATCACCCTCATCGTCATACATACCAGCATCATCATCAGCATCATCATCATCCGCAGCATCCTCCTCCTCACCATCATCATCAGTATGATCATCATCGTCATCATAATACTCATCATGATAATCATCATCATCATAATCTTCAACATAATTCTCATCGGCAGCATCGTCATCCTCATCAGCATCATCATCAGTCACATCAGCATCATCAGCATCATCAGCATCAACATCAGCACCATCGTCATCATAATAATCAGAATCAGCATCATCGTCTTCACCAATAGCTTCATCTTCATCATCATCATCATCACCATCACCATCATCATCATCATCATCATCATCATCATCATCTTGATCATCATCACCATCATCATCTTCACCATCACTATCATCAGCAGCAGCAGCATCACCATCACCACTATCATCAGCACCTTTTTCAGCATCAGCAGGAGCAGTGGCAGCATCATCAGCATCAGCATCAGCATCAGCATCAGCATCATCTTCATCATCGTCGGATCGGGGGCAACGCTAGGAGGCCCCCCCCCCTGGGGCATTGCCCCGCCCAAGAGAGAGCGCGCGGTCGCCGAGGGCCCCCCGCGAAGGCCTGGCCTGGTCTCGCCAGAGGCCGCGCCGTGCCCGCACGGGTGGCTGCGGCAGGCCTTGGGCCGCCTGCCGCGCAGCGACGCCCCTAAAGAGCTGCGCGTCTGCTGCGCTGCGCTCGCCGGCGGCGCGCTCCATTTGGGCTCGCGGCCCCCTCACCGGGGAGGAAAGGACACCCATGCCGCTGCCCTTCGCCCGTTCGCCCCTCGATTGGGCCTCCGGGGAGGCCCTCGTCGCCACCGCTGGATTCGCCTCGTAATCCTGGCCAGAGGGCACCCCGGGAGAGGCCCGGGGAGTAGCGGTATCGGTGCCCCTCGGTTTCCCAAAACCAGGGGCCAAGATAGGGGGGAGGCATGCGGGGGGATGCATCGACCCCCACCCAATCGCCCACTGATCGCCGATAGGGGCCCGATAGCCCCACTCTGCCCAGGAGCGTGCGGATTCACTCTCGGGGGCCTATCGCCGATCTATCGGCAATGTATCGCCGATTCCAGCTCGCTGTTTCCCACGCCTCTGGCAGTCCCCCCTGTCGTTGCCCCTCAAGGGCAGGGTGTCCAGATGCGGCCATGTGCGCGCGGCCCTCGAAGGGGCGACGCGCTTGCTCAGAGGTCTGGTCAAAAGAGGCAGAACATATTGTGAACATGTTTCCGGCGTGTTTTCGGGCGTAGCCCGAATTTGTTTCTTGCGAGGTAGGCTGAACTGAACTGAATGAACTGAACTGACCTGAACTGAACTGAACTGAACAGAGTTGGGCTGAACCGAACTGAACGAAATGAAATGAACAGTCTGGTCGCACCCGTTACGCGACGGCTTTATTCTCGGCCGCCAAGGGCGCAACCTATGGCGCAACCGATCGGAGACGGTTTTATGCTCGGCCGCCGAGGGCGCAACTTATGGCGCAACCGATAGGAGAAGGTTCGATTCTCAGCCACCGCAGTCGCAACCTATGGCGCAACCGATAGGAGACGGTTTTCTTCTCGGCCTCCGAGGTGCTAGGATAAGGAGGATGAGCAGGAGGAGGAAGAGGAGAAACGAGGACGAGGTCCTAGACGAGGACGAGGTCCTAGACGAGGACGACGAGGACGAGGAGGAGGATGAGGAGAAGGATGAGGATGACGACGACGATCAGGATGGGGAGGAGGACGGGGAGGAATACGAGTAGTACCAGGACGAAGTGAGGGCATTCGAATGCGTGCGGGGCACGCCCGATTTATGCTCGCCGTTCGGGCTGGCGGTGGGGCCCAAGCGGCGAGCTGTCTTGTGATTAAAGCAGTTGGAAGACATCTTAGAAGACAGTAGTAATTCAATGATAGAACGGTTCGAGTGTCCACCGTCATGGCATCCACAAGTATTGTCACACACACACAAACACACACACACACACACGCGCTCTCTCTCTCTCTCTCTCTCCCGTTTGCCCTCTTTTGACCTTCTCGTCTATTGCTTGGGTGTTTCTGTGGTTGTCCATCGGGCCTCTAGTGTTGCAGGAGTAGGGGGTGGAGGACCGGCAGGAGGAGCAATTGATAGGTTGAAACTGCAGCAGACGTGCCATTGCCCATCCACCAAGACTTGCAAACCACACGTCTTCGCACAACATCTTCACCGACGTATCTTCATCCGCCAGCCTGAAGCTACCATGGAAACATCTGCACGCATGCACGTCGACACCTTCCAGTGACGTCTCCTCACGCAGCACGCAGCCGCTTCAAAACGGCAAAGTAAGTGTACTCGCTTAAACGCTTCGCTTAGCGCTGAGCCTCAGCCACCCGCCCGGAGTTGCCACAAGCATGTCGGCTTCACCACCATTCTAAATCATTTGCGTCTTATGCTCGACCCTCCGCACATCCGCACCAGCCAATCTAGAAACGATCCCCAGGCGCACTGCCTTGATGAGGGAAGTGCAGAAGCAAGCAGTGGAACACCAAGGGGGTCAGCCGTCCAACCGAAGTTCGGATTCAGCTTGATCAGTCCCAGGAGACAACCACCAACGCCTTCGAGGCCACTTTGAGGCATGCTGGAGGCTATCTTGAACCACCCTGAGCTTTCATGAGCCCTCTCGGAGGCCATCTTGGACTTTCTGGGGTCATGTTGCAGCCCTCTCGGAGGCCATCTCGGGCGCTCTAACCATTGCGTGCAGACCCAGTTGCAGGCGGCAGGAGAAGGGGTAGCCCTTCCTGAGGGTGAAGAAGCTGGCTGGGCCGAGGAAGAGCGCGATAGACCACCCGGACCCTGAGGCCTGCCAGGATTGCCACCCAAGCATGCTCACCCTTCCGTGAGCGTATGCGTGCTACCAGCATATCCTCATTCACCCACCTGCACGTGCCATGCGCACATCTTCGCCCACGGGCTTGAACTTGCCACCCAACTGGCCTCACGCACCCGCCGTCGGCTGCCATCGAAGTACCATCAGACACCCGCCACCAGCTGCCATCGAAGGACCAGCTAGAGCTGAAACCGACAGATTGCCACCAACCCGTCTCAAATTGCAACCTGATTCTCTTCACCTTCCTGCTTACGTCAATCCTCACCGCGGCGTATGTACAAGCCCTGGGGCGCACCAAGCGATATAGAATGCCCGGTCGGGAGGAGGAGGAGGAGGAGCAGGGACGGAGCGAGATGGTGGAGGGACGAGGTGGTGGAGGTGAATGACGACGACGAGGTGGACCACGACGGACGACCGCGACGGACGACCACGTGGCAGCGGAGACGGAGCCGACGGGGACGCCGTCGGCGCTCCGAGGTCGCTGCGGTGCCTGTTGTGGGGCTTCGGCGGGGGCTGCATCACGGGTGCCCGGGGAGGGGGGGGGGGCGCAGCGGGGACAGCTGGCCGACCTGCCGTCCGGCGGAGGAGGGGGCCCCCGAGGCATGCT